AATTTGGGGGGCCAATAATCGCATGTTATGAATTTTACATTGAAATCCCTATGATGCGTTACGCAAGTCACCACCCTGTATAGTATGTGACGTAACTAGTTAATATCATCAATCTTCTTTGGACACCGGTACAGATTTAAAATAATTTTAAGTCCTGATTTAATTTAAACTGCTACATCTGCATTAAGTTCTTGAAATACATCTAAGTCTCGACACAGATGTGATAATTACCCAAATCATATAAATTTCAATAACTTTTTTGTTTTTTGATATAATGTATACCTACTTTACGAAATATTTAATAAATTCGAAAAAAATCAAGATGGCGGCCATTTTTACCCAAGTTCCACCAATGCGACAAAGTGCGATTTTTGAGGGGTTAATAAGGACTCTATTGAGTACTCATTTCGGCAGAGATCACGTTGTTACTAATTTTTTCTACCTCACTTGTATAAACCGGCCTAGTTTGACCAGCCTAGAAGGTTTCATGACGATTTTGGGTAAAAAGTATTGCGAAAATGCGTTACAATAGGAAAAACTGCAAAGTTTTGGTACTTGCATTGCCGTATGATACAGATACACTGGGATTTTTCTAGAAGTAAATTGACTTCGGACCTTGATTCATACGCGTTCACGCTTCTTCGTCTTTAGTCACCCAAATTATTCTCGATGGACAAAAAGATTCCACGACAATCTATTAAACATAGAAACAAAGTACCCTAACTACAAAAGTCAATTTGTAAACGGTTTATTTTTAATTAAACCGTTTTTTCGATCACCGGTAGATTTAAGTCTCGAGCAGACCGTTAATGCAGATGCTGCACGACGATTAGGAGTGACGAATTCTGGAAGCTCGGAAAAGATGGGCATACTTAGTTATTCCCTAAGAACTTCAATCGTGACACAAACGTTTGAAGATGCAGGTTGCAATAAAAAGTAAGATGCCAGAACACCGGGTAAAAAAGACAAGAGAGCGTTAAATTCAGTAATAAACCGTACAAGAGCTAATGGCCTATTTTGCAGTTGAAGCTCTTTAATTATAAATAAAAAAAAAGTACTATAGAGAATTTAATGAATCCTTTTTGGGATATACCCAAAGGCCAATTGTTTAACATTGCTACAGGAAAAGTTTTCTCTATAATAGTCCCAGTATATAGGGAAGTTCCTTAGAATATTGAAGAAATCGGAATTGAATTACGAGACAGATTTATTCAAGAATGCGTATTGGATTCTACAAGGTTTGGGAAGCCTTTAAAAAACTGGATGTACCTACTTTTGCCAACAAAGGTATTAAATACTCAATTAAACACTGATGTGAACTTAAATTTGAAACATTTAATGAGTAAACTTTTGCTGTTATCAATAAATAATAAGCTAGACCTAGAGTTAGTGATGACCTATTCCTTAACGCGCCTGTTCCTTTATCGCTTTGTAACCTCGATGGAAGCATCAACACTTCTTCAAATTTTAGAAAAAATTGACAAAAACCCTGAGAACCAGAATTAGTTGGTGCCACGGTCATTGATGGATATTTCTTTTTACACTTATTAAAAAATCCTAATGAACCGCTGAGGTAATAATTTTTCAGCCCATGTTTGCAAAATACGGGCACAAATCGATAAACAAAAAATATTATTATTTGGTTTGACTTCTAATTTGAATGGGTTTTCTTCGTTACGTACACATTTTTAAATACAAGGTAAATGAAAAGATTTGCAAAGTATGCAAGATATGCAAAAGAAAATTTAGTTTACTTTATAGAATTTATGTAAAAATGACATTTTAATAGGTTTGAATGAGTAGGCTAAGCCGTTCTTTAACCGTAAGAGTAGATAACGTGAAACAAATGATTGTGCATTCTAATGACATCTGTCCAAATGCATGACATAAAATGACGTTCAGAACATATAAACGATCGCGACGGCGGAACCTAAGCTTGCTATTTTTGACGTCTCTAAATTAAATTCAGAATTATAAAGAGCTTTATAATGGTTTATATGGCTTCTGCTATAAAATAAAGTTTTGTATTATACACGACAATAAAGGGAAACTAACCATCTCGTGAAAATTAATTAATTAACATCTTTCACTCAATGGTTAAAATATCGTCTTGTATAATAACTAACTATTAATGGATTCAAAATGTTCCGAATCGCAAATGCACGATATCTGAAAGAGCGCACCCCAAAAATAAACGATATGCATTAACTACTATCAACAAGTCCTGCTCACTTCTCATATTATCAAATTTGGTCTAAGTAATTTGACTAATTTTTATTATAAAATGAAAATTTGGCAATAGCGTCACACTTTCAACTCATCCCTAATATGCTGTTTTTATTGCACGGTTCCGGATTGTGCCTTCCTTTTCCGATTTGATACTACAGACACAATTTGATTCATTGTCACAGATATGTACGCGGGCAATGTTTGAGCTCGGCCTTTAACGCCATAAATTATATTACTCATATTTTATATTTCTGTGCGCAATCAACAACCCGCGGTTACAGGGGAACATTCATTGGATGACTCCGGGATTTAATATGTTCGTACATATTTTAGTAATTTAACTGCCAGAACATTGCCCTTTTACTCCCAACTCGAGAGTTTGAAATACGTGATTAGAATAATGTGACACAATCGAGAATATTAATACACTGAAAACTGTGAAACATCCAGATCTACAGTTTAAATTAAAGTATCTCTTAATATTGGTACTACAGTAAAAATAAAAACGCGGTATTCGGGAAAATGAAGAGGGCAAAAGAAAAACAAAAGCGACGGGATGTAATAATGAACATTATATCAATTCAGTTAATTAAAAGTTTTCAATAATCCACCGCTTGAAGCAGCTTGTGAATTGTACGTTCCAATTTCGTATTGCTTATCTTGCGCTCTGCTCAAAAATTAGAACAGAAAGGCAACTCACTCGAACATTTCGAAAGCAGGCGACGAATTTAACGTGAAGAGCTCTTCAGCACCGCGGGCCTAAAATCTATACGAATTCGTTTGTGGAAAAATTATTTTACAAGGATCAAGTGAAAGTGCTTGATCGACCGCAATTAAAATGTGGTGTTAAAGTGGTCATTGCGGTTATGTTGGAACGTAAATAGTGTTAGTAGTGGAACATCAAGTCTGTATCTGGTAAAGGGTCTGTGAAATGTGAAATGAGACCGTCCTTAATTGACACTAAACAGTTTCTGTTGCCGATAACTTACTTGTAACATTAGGAAAAAAGACCGATTATTGACAGCAGAATACATAACTCCCGCACGGAACTAAAAATGCTCGCACCCCCCTTCCTCGATTAAAAAATAAAAACTGCTTGTACTACAAAAGATATTTATAAAAATAATGTCTTTTTCAAAGATTCTAACTACAAACCCTTCACATCACTGTCGAGGAAACATTGAAGCACGAGGCTTTGAGACCGAGTAGGTACTTTAATTTCCGAGTCAAGTAATGCTATTTTTTCTGAAACGACTTTAGAAACAACTACTTTCGTCTCTAAAAAGGGTGAAGAAAATGTGATTTTCCTCTCTAGTGAGGAAAGTAAAAAACAATTTCTGCGTTAATCTTAATAATGACATTTAAAATTGAAACACACCCGTATCTAGATTGCTATTTGTCAAACTTCATTATTGTATACGATCATTTTTCAATTTTGATTGTAGTTTCAGAAAAAAATATGTGTAAAACTTGAGAAGAAAACTATCGTTCAATTGACACACTCGCTACGCTCAAGTGTCAACCTTTGAACTCGAGTTAAAAAACTCTACCTTCTTCTCTAGTTGTACAAATAACTATTATGGACGAGTCTTTTTTTATTAAACTTTACCCCAAATCGTATTTTAATGTGAAATTTCAATTTTTATGTATATAACTTTTGAATAATGTCAATCTGTCAGTGATGATGTGACATGTGTGGCCGGTAAAGTGCTAGAAGCGGATGGTCAAACGCCAGGAAAAGTAGTCTGGTCTGCTTCTGTCATAGAAATTAAAATTCTTGACATAAGGGTTTCATGACGATTTGGGGTAAAATGTTTACGGAATAACTGTAATCGACAAAATAAATCGGTTGTGAGTAATGTGAGTTATGATGGAAGTCTAATTGAGATTTGATAACAAAATAACTATTTCATTAATTAACTTTACATGATCAAATTCCCCATATATTGGCGTAACATGAATTGTCTTTGAGATCAGCTTGGAGTATTGGCGTCCATCCTCCCATTTATCACCTATTCTTCATAACTAGACAGCTAGCCAAACTTAAAGCGTATAAAACTGGGCTTCTCGCATGGAAATAGAGGACATTTACAACGATATTTTAGTAACTCGCGATATATGTATAGACAGAATCGACCGCACCCTTAATAATTTTTCCATAAGATTTTTATCGGAATGTTTATGTTAGGTATCTGTAATATTTATGGCTGCCGTAAAGTCTCGAGTGGTTTTTTCTTCTACAGCACGGTAATGCGGGCAGTTTGTTAACTTTGACTACAATATCGCGCTGCAGTAAAGCAAAATGTTAAAAGTAATGATACTCTCTTTGCCCACTTATGTCAACGTACATTTTTGTATTTGTGCCAAGAAACGGGCGAATAGGTACGTGTTAGAAATGCGACTACTTTATCTTGGAGGGAATATCTTATGATGGACAATAAAGAGTCGGTGAGAATGAGGAGTAACTATTTAAAATTATATACCGTTCGAGGTTCAACTGTAAATTTATGTAAATTGAGGCTTTAGAAATTGTGGTAAACTTTCAGACAGAGTAAACCAACTAGCATACATGGATTAACTAAATGTGACTGTTTAAAATTTAATTACAGACTTCCACACTTCTAACTACTCTGATTTTGAATTATTTTGGTAATCCTTAGAACAAACAAAACCGTAATTGTTAAGTTGGAATTTAGGACACTCGGATTAATTTAACTTTTCGCCATAAACTAGATTAAATCGTGAGAGAAACTTGATCAAATTTTTTTCAGATAAACCAGTTCCTCGGTTCCCTCACTTGTGGAAACAGATCGAGCAGGCTTGGGCGTTTATTGGCGGCGATGTTAATTTGACCTGCGAGGTCGACGCGAATCCGCCAGCGAAGTTCGAGTGGTTCCGCAAAAATCGTCTCGTCACCGTAAGGGATAAGGCAGCCATCCATGAACCTCATAGATCAATCCTTCAGGTGAGTCTTCCAGTCGCGCTTGAATTTATTAGAAGTGAAAGTTTCAGCTTCACGCGAATAATTCGATCGTTTTCGGCGATTATAAATGTAGAGCGACGAACCGATTGGGGAAGCTCGAAAAGTTTATCACACTCCAACAGGGAGTGCAGCCCGATCCTCCAGACGTAGTTAGATTGCACGAAACAGGACGGCACACCATCAGTTTAACTGTCGAAGGGCCTGATATGACGAATAGGACGATTGCCGCTAGCATGCTACCTTCCGGCTATCGCATACAGTATAAGGCCACTGAGGAAAATTTGGATTGGGATCATGCGGCAACCGCCGATTTTGTTAAACGGGAAGGTTTGTAATAACTGGAAAGATTTATTTAAGTAACCAAACTCAGTAACATTATTGGAGACGGAAAGTTTCAATTTTGAGTTGAAAGTTGTTAATTCCTTCGTAACATTTAATTGTGTATCTTGTGCTGAACGACTTTGTGAGGGGAAGTTTAGATGACAAAAACTTAGTCCCTTGTGGCGATAATATAGGCATATTAACGAAAATAACGAGAATTCATTTTGCGTGAACTCTCTAATAAACGAAAAGTTGTATGTTCCGACGAAAACCTAACGATGAATAGGGCATTCGAGTTATTGGGAGTGGTGGTCATCTTTTTTTATTGAAAAATCTATGGAAAGACGTTGTAGGACATTACACCCGTCAACTTGGTTGTAATAGAAGGAAACCAAAATTTCTTATAGTCCAAGACGCACTATTAACTGTAGGTGCATGTGAAATGATTTCCAACAAAAAATATGCCCAAAAAATATCTTTTAGGCAATTTTTATCTGGTAGCTTTAGTAGCTCTATAATACGTAAATAACACTCTCAGACTAATTTTGGAGTTTTAATGACCGGACCCCCTCCTCCGAATTTATTTAAATAATATACCTACCCAAAAAATATACTTTGGGTATCCTAAATTTGTTGTGGCATATTCAATACGCGATTTTAAAAATATAATGTCAATTGCCAAACTATTTGAACGGTTTTTTATAACCCCCTAACGTGAATAAAGATTTCAAATAAGAGCGTCAAAAAAGACTCACTTGGTCTGGTCATACTTTAAAACCCAAAAATTAGTCATTGTTTTCAAGATAGAGACCTTTCATTGGAATACTATGAAGGGTAGAACGTGTATATTCTCCTTCTTTCCGTCCTCCCATTTTCAAAAGTTTTACATGGCGTCACTAGACTCTAGAGGTATGTACATGAAAAATCTAAGACGAATTCAGGGACAAATAAGTTGTCCCACATTTCTTTTAATTTTTTTAACATGCGCTAAAAATGGTATTATTTCCAAAAATTGAGAAAAACACGGAACTTTAAATTGGCGTATCTCCTAAACTATAGATGCTAGGGCGCCAAATAAAATATCAAAATAAAGGTACTTACACTACAATTTTGAATAATACGTGATTTTACCCAAGTAATTGCCGTTGGAGAGTTATTTTAGAAAAATTAGAAATTTTTGCAGATTTTTTTACCACAAAAACTTCTCCCGACGTTAGTCGAACGGACAAACTTGGTTTTTTTCTCTCTCTTTACTCTTTAAACAAGACGGAAAAATAACATCTTCTAATGGACCTTTTGTAACCATTTACCATTTTTAATTAAATTCAATATAACTTGCAGAACACTACTTTCATCTCCCATAAGTAGTCTCTCTAGAGAATACATTAAGTACTGCGTTCATAGTATACATTCAATGTCCAGGTGGTGTTCCAGATCGAGTGGAATTGTATGGGTAATTTTTCTATAATTGAAGTAAGAAAGACTTATACTGAAATCTGCCAATTTCCACAAAAATCTCATTAATTATAAAAGTTGATGTATGAGAGTTTCTTAAATATACCATACAATGAAATTTTGCATTGTATTTATTTAATGGGTGCCATTACTGATAGTTACGTCGTTTATGGTCCATTATGATGCAAATTTATGTATAAGGTACCTACGTTACCCAGCAAGGTACCAATTAAATTATTTTTTGATTGGTTTTAGATTAATTTTTTAACGTATTATTTCTTATGTGTATTGAAGCTTATTAACGCGCAACAAAAAATGAGTTCATGATTTGTGTACATCATAACCAACGAACGGTTTCGAATTTTCCACTTCTGTTTTCAGTAATAGCTACAATGATCAAGGGACTAACTGATTAAATTTTCGTCAATACTCGTCAACCAGAAGTGACCTTTTGATCGTTGTCTATGTTGGTGCAGTTTATTTCGTAAATACACGCATTGCGCCTAAATCACTGATCCAACAAAAAATGTGTTATATACAAAAGTGCAGTTTTTTTTACAGCAACAAATTCGACAAATATTTGTATTATTATTCGCAGTTTCTATTTGCTCCTCACGTTTCTAATCAGCTTGTCTTGGAAAGGTTAAATCAATCGCCATTGGGCCTGCATCTTTAAGATGTCAATATCAAATGATTAGCTGTGCCTATCTGTAGGTATATTAGTGGCAACAGCAACAGAATTTCTTATTCGCTAGCACCACAGCAGATCAAAATAACAAATTTCTATTTTTCAGATAACAGCTACACACTAGAGGAACTCGACAAGGATACCATGTACGAAATGCGCGTCGCAACCAGAAACTTGGCCGGAATTAGTGAATATACAAACAGCTCGATTTTCAAAACGTCATCAGCAACATTAGCCGCAACATCCCAATTCACTCTATTAGTTTTCCTTAGCTGCCCAATTGCATTTGCGTTAATATTATGATAAATTTTGTTATACATTTCTAAACGTGAAGTAGCTTCATAATTAATTGTAATAATGAATGAATTTCAATGTATATATAAAGATAAAACTACTGTAGCTACTCGGAAGAGGTCTCCCGTCACGCTCTGATCTACGTATATTCCATTTTGCATCCGAACAAAAAGAAAAAAAATATCGTCGTATTGTTGTTAGCTGTGTTACAATAATCTACTTGTTTAACCGGTATTATACTTAAGTTACCTGAAGCAATTTAATACATATTCAATGTTGATCAATTATTATAGGATTGAATGCGCAACGTCCGGCAATATTCTTCGCAACAAATACGTATCTCGATTGGCAATATCTCAGTTTGGGCGATGTAAATAATTCTAATTTATGACTTCGTTAATTTCTTGGATCTAACACTGCCATTAACGCTAATTGATGGCTTTAATAACACAAAGCTAATTTTTAATCATTTACCATTATTGTTATTCTAAAGAGAAATAATCGGCAGTTTTATAAATGTTAATGGTAAGAAGGTAAAATGAATGTAAATAAGTTACAACGACGAACCTTATTGTTATAATACAAATATTAATTATTGTTACTAAATGTGCCAAAATGAAAATTATTTGTGCTGATCAATTAAAGATATTTGAATACATATTTAAGGAACAGGTGTACTTAGAGGCTCTTTTAAGTCTGTTTGTATAAATTGTTGTAAAATTTAAGGCAATAAATTTTCTTCCATAATGCTCGTACTATCTTTAAAATTTAACTTAATCTTATCACAGGATATATCTTCTTCAGTTCATCAACATAATTAGACACAATGTTAAAAATTAAAAGCAATTAACGAAAAATAAACGAGAGGGATTTTCATAAAATAGTAGCGATATACCGTGCCTTCTTAGGAAAATGAATATTCTCTGCAAATCAAGTACTTTTGGGCAGTTTTTGTAAGCGAATTTTTCGAGACGACAACACCGGTAGGCGAGCTGATCATGAGGATTGAACACATGGACGCAAAGTTTCGGAGGGCGAATATTTTATAAACAAATTTAAGGGCCCAAACAAGAAACACTAGACCCTGAAATTTAATCCTGAACTGTTTGTCAACACATAAATTAGTCACCGGAATGTACTGCCCAAAAGAATTCAATTCATGTCGACAAATTTTTACCTTCACGAAAATTCATAGAAGAAAAGAACAAGAAGATCGCAGGTAATATCACCCTAAAAAGGAAACTTTCTCTTAAGGAATACCCATGGACTACAAACGACCTTTTATACAGTGTGGGCCTTTGACAACTTATAATGGCTAATCAATAAAAAAAAAACTGTTTTATTATCCCTCTCTTGTTCTGGGCCCTCTACAGGCTTGCGCCTAATTACAGAGTGACCCGCATAATACTTTTTAGAGGTGCCTCTGCAGAAGGTCTTAAGTTGTTCTATACTCCAGTATTTACATTACGAATTAGGAAAACTGCAGGAAAACCTAATTCGGAGTAGCCGGCAGAATGCTCGAAACTGGTCTAAGGTAACTTCCATCTCTGCCACAGATGAATTAAAAAATTAGTACCTAATTTGGATTTCCCTTGGTTGTTAAAGAAACAGTATTTTTATTTTACCTCTCTTTAAAAAAATATAGCTATTGCTAGTTTTAAAACGCTGTAGGTATATATTTTATATAAGTCGTATAGAGGCAGTCGATATGCGAGCCCAACCGAGTATTATTTCTAAAGCGAACTCTTGTCACTGAATTTAACAATGCGAGTTTTTTTTGAGGCAAAATTATCGGTAAGTGAATTTCTAAGTGCAGGGTGGGAGACGGAGATATTTCCAAAGCTTCTATTTAGGTAGAAACTTTCTGAACACATTTGTATAATTTCCAGGTTTTTTGAAACGTGAATATTTCGTCGCCTAGTTTTCTTAAAAGTAAGGGCGAACGTTTCTGGGCGGTAAGTTATGGGTTTATGACAAATAACCCTAAGTTATACCTTTTCCCATTAGAGTTGTAGTTGAGTTTTTTTAACAGTACCTACCTGCGTTTGAATCGATTTCCTTAGAAAGTCAATATTTCGAAGAGAGACAATTTTCCTTAGATTGGGGCAAATAGCGAACATCTATGAGAAAATTAGTCGGGCCGCGCGAGTTTCCCTACGAGCATAAATCGGAATATTTTTTGTGGAAACGAACACTATCAACTTTTCGAAAATAACCTTCCAATTCAAAATCAAAGTATATGAAATGTCCTACAAACTACATTAGTTTTTTTCCTCGATGAACCCTTCGGGCTCAAAAAATCACCCTTACGTGTACAATTCAAATAATAATAATAATAGGAACTATGTGTTTTGCGGAGACAGCCGAAATATGCCAATTTTCAACTTGAGTTTGAGCCCAAAGCATCGAGGAAAAAAACTAAATAGTGTAGTAGGAAATTTCATATACTTTATGATTTACGCCTGGATTTACGTGTTACTTAAAAACTGTGTATTTGTGATTTAGTATTTATAGCTAAAATGTATTCAACAAAAGAAAAAGTGCTAATGTATTCTGTTGTATTTGCTGTGGAGTTCCCAGATCGTTCAATATTTCCACCATTACAAGAGTAGTAAACATATATAAAAATACAGGCTGTGTAAGAATTGCCCATGAGAGACTTATCATAGCACCACAAGTTGGTGGAGATAAAGGAATTAATATCTTAGCTTCAGTCGAAAATAATCGGTCACTCTCCGCTCGTAAGCTAGCAGTTGAACATGAAATCAGTTACCACTCGTTAAAGTATTGAAATACACATGCTACACATTTCAAAACCACCAAGAGCTTCTAAATAATGATCCAGATCAAAGGATGGAATTTTGTAAACTTATGGTCGAAAAAATAACCAATGATGAAGAATTTTTAAATACAATTTGTTTTACTGACGAGGCTGCATTCATTTCTAATGAGGTATATTGCAGGAACTGGTCTAACGAAAACCATTATCTAATTAACGCATCAAGAACCCAGAAAGTTAGCACTTGAGCAGGTATGATTGGAAACCACATTTTCCTTGGATGGAAACGTAACGCGAAGGAGCAATTACAGACTTGAATTTGAGAGAAATTACCTTTCGACATGATGGCGCTGAAGTGTATTATTCCCACGTTGTAAGAGAATATCTGAACACCACGTTTGGACGGCGCCATTGGATCGGTCACGAAGGACCAATTTGGTGGGCAGCTCGGTGACCTGATTTGACGCCACTGGATTATTTTTATTGGGGTTACCTCAAGATCAAAGTGTACACTGGTGTAGAAATTTAAAACTTGGACGAGCTCAAAAACAGAATCACTGCAGCTTCACAAGAAATCACTCTAATCAGGAATCAACAGTTTTTATGACCGTTTGGGACATTGTCTTTCCGTTAACGAATTTTTGAAAGTTTAATATAATTTATTTAACTAATTAGTTTATTACGTATTTATTAGTTTTATTTTCTCTTACTGTATTTATTTGATTGTAAGAGGAATAAAAGCAACCACGGCTACAGGAGATGCGGGCAGTGGAAGAATTGTTAAATTAGAGCGTATTGTCATTTCTCAAGAAAAAGAGATTAGATGTGGTAACCTTCAGATGTAACAAGTGCGATGTTGCACTTCACCCAAAACTATGTTTTTTGGTTATCACAATAAAGATTGAGATATATTGGCGTTGATTGCATAATTAAATCATTGGTCACGCAGCACCACTGTTAGTTTAACATACGCCTTATAATTCAAGGACCGCGTAATTAAAATAAAAATAATTACATTTGCGCCTCTTTGTCAAGATACAAAAAAAAGTCCAAATTAATTGTGCGCATTTAAATATTTTATTTTTTAGTGCATAAAATTAATTAAAACTGCAATTATTGTTATTTTCTTTTTGGAATTAATCTCTTTAGTCGCTACCGCCCAATTCATTTCATTTTGCATGCCGGGTGAAATGAGGTATACACAAATCAATGCAGACGATAACTTCAACTCTCGCTCACGATTGCCGTTAGTAACAGCAGGTAAGTGAACTTTTTTTGCCTATGTTTTTGTAGGGTATCGGAATTTCCGTATCAATCAACCGACTTATGGGCCGACAAAATTAAGCTGAGTTTCGCTTAAAATCCATGGCGACCATAGTAGCAATAAATTAAACAAATATAGCAATCGAGCTCCTGTAGCATGTGAAAAACCAAATTTTAAACCTGATGTTAGTTTTGATTTTATTTAAAGTGGATGAAATTTGATTTAATTGTTTCCATAAATAGGAAAGTTGGCACTGCACATTCTACACAAAACCAAATTTTGAAACTGGCGTTATATTTACTTTTATCCCAAGTGGCTATGTATCAAATTTCATTTAAATCCAAATAAGAAAGTTTGCAATTCGGTCTGTAAATGGTCGAGATCGATTAGGCTCAACTTTTGGAATTGTGTTTTATGTGGGTAAAGCTATTCGCATATTGAATTTCATGCAATTCGGTTCATACCTAACGGAGATGTCAAAAGGGCCATTTTTTGGTCTACATTGCCGATTCACGACTTCCGATCTACACATTTGGTAAAGAATCCACCTGCAAAATTTCATCGAAATCGGTCCATTCGTTTATGAGTTATCGTGCTAACGGACGGACGGACGGACGAACAGACGGACGAACAGACACCGCAAAATTATAAACTCGCTAGGAGCTCGTTAATAATCGTTGCCATGGAATTTAACCGGTTGTCGGTGCAAACGGCGGAAGTTATTACCTACTGTTATTCGTAATCAAAGATTTATATGTAGATAAGGAAACGGTTCATGGAGGAAAGATTAACCATTGTCATTACCATATTTGGTCTAACAGTATAATCCCAGCCCGTTGATCTGTGATACTCAGGCTTATTATATTTTAATTTGTTTTATTTGTCTCTCGGTTTGTCTTCTCTATTTAATGTAGTTTGTTGTTTACCTGTTTGACGAATGATTGATTGATTGATATTTACATGGAGTCAAATGTATTGCAAACCAAAGTATAGTAGTAATTTCGTATATGAGAAATTCTATACAAAATAAATTTTCTCACCTACCGCCGTACATGTGTTGGTGAATACAAATGATAGAATAATCAGATACATTGAATACACTTTCAAATAATACAATAGAATCATGTATCTTCTATAATCCTAAAAAAACCCATGAGTCACAAACCACCGTTCGTAATTGCGACTATAGTATTTAATTCGTATAAAACTATACGGGTAGTAATGGTGTAACGGTTTTAATTCTTCTCACCGTTCATTTTCTCTATGCTACGGATTCTTACAGGCCGATATTAGGTTACGCCACTGGCATATTGCAAATTGGGAATATTTTCTATGTTTTTGCGCATGTGCGTTACTCCACCGACACGTATTAAGCGGTGAATATTTCATTCATTGGTGCTTGCTTTAAAAACGAACAGGTGTGATGGCGTCTTGAAAATTTTCATGGGCATAATATAGTTACATATCGCCGAATTGCGGATTTTCGAGTCCATGAATAATCGATGTTTTGGAGATTGGTTTGTTAGACCATTTTATCCATTTACCGTTACGGGATCTGAATACATTTGCTTGACGTAAGTAACATCTGCGTATCATTTCTATTTCACAGCCACGCTGTTCTTTTAGATAACGCACCTGTTCTTCGCATCACCTAAGCCAGAGCTTTGATTGCCGATAACCTCGAGGCATCTCGTTAATTAACGAGTTTTAAAAAGCCCTCTTTTTAATTAAGAGGTATGCTTAAATCTTGGCCAAAAACCAGTATTAATTCCGACATTGTTTTAGGGTTTTACTTTTTCCTGTTTTTTTTGTATCGCACGTAATTATCTCATGTCAAACTTGTGGTCACGCATGGTTGGTTTCCCACTGCTGGACCTTATTGTCATCCGATTGTCCACCTAGAGGCCGATTGTAGCGGTTATTACCCGAGCTGAGGGCTCCCGGATATCCTGAGATTTGTAACCACGGGGGTGGACAACCGACACGAAGAATCTTAAGGGGAGCAGGAACACCACGTAGCCGCCACGTTTCCGGAGAACGGTGAAATAAACTTAGCCTTTCGATATTAGTACTATTTGCCATTGCATAGGCACTCCTATTGTTAATCTTAAGCGAAGGGTTACGCTCGCATCTGGGGCACTTTACCGATCGGAGGTACAAAGTAAGGGGATAGGAATAATTGGTACATTGACGGGTCATACTGCTGTGGATCCCGTTGAATTTGTAAGCGCATGAGTACTCATACCGCCTTGTTAACTAAGCAACCCCGTACCACGTCATTAAAGTGTTTAGCTTATAATTAATGCCTAGAACTATCCATTTATGCAACACCGTTTAATCCAGGCTGCTTGGCCACTGCCGACCTCACTATAAAAAGGGAAAAGCAAGGGTGGGAAGACCATTTTGTTTGCGGATAGACTACTATTTGGGAAGGGTGGGGCAATTAACCCACGGGCTTCGCGTCGGTTGCCGCTCACTAATTTTTGCATGTGATATTACCTGTGGGTTAGTCATTAGTTGTTATATATATATATCTACTTTAGTAGTCGATTTTATACATATTTATTGTTACTTGTTATACTGTGTGTTGGGGTACCTTAAATTGATTCTGTGATTATTTGCATGTGTAATTGCAATACTGTTGGTTACAAATTATACTATCACCGTTGAAGTTACCTCCAGTGTTTTGGATTATTGCTCGTTCCTACAGGGTATTTATTGCCCTGCAGTGGTATCAACCTTCCTTGTTCAGGTTGAACCGAAGACCTTCTCTAGTAGTGAACAAGGTGGCGCCCATTTATTGTTTGAGGTGGTAAGTCAAATCGTTAGTCCAACGCCCTACCCTGAGTATTATAGTTTCGTGTGGTTTAATTTAATTGAGCCGCTAGCTGAGGCATCCCCTTTATTTAACGTGGGGTTTGTAAATCAGCGCCACTCAAACTTAGCGTTACAATTGCTTATTTGTGAGTGCGATATTCTTTAAATGCATAGGTAATTATTTAATTACTTATGATAAATTAATTATTTAAGATAGTAATTATCACAACAAAGACGGCAATGAAATACATTACCAAAAATAGACAAGCGGCCCTGTGATTTATCACTAACGTTAAACTTAACGTGCAGGCAATCTGTAGAAAACGTTTTTTGGCAGATAATCTGCACGTTAAGTTTATCATTTCTGATACATCACAGGGCTGAATGTAGGTTGTAGGTAGTACCGACATGTTGGTAGTCGTTTAGTGAGACCATTGAGTAATAAATATTATTCAATGGTATATTATTCAATGGTAGGACGAAAGTGTTTACTGAGATTCATATTTTGCTTCGCGTATCTCTGTGAATATGACCAATCAGAATAGCTAACCGCCATTGATACGGAAATAAAATCACTTTACCTCCACTCCTTTCTGTTCCTTCAGCACTTCATGAAATGTCTCCATAGCAGTCATGCTGTCGTAAAATGAACCAAGGGAGTCGTAGAAGAACGCATACTTCGTGATAATCCCTTGCGCCCTAGAACAAAAGAAGGAAAATGAATTATAATGTGTAATTTGCTCAGGTTTTCAATCAAAAATTTAAGTTTGACATTGATTACCACATTAAGGTCAATACAATGGATATGTGCCTCAATTGCAATTTTACCCAATTTTAAGAACTTAGCAGCGGAATTCATACAAACCACACAAGGTTGCCATTAATGCATAAAGGCCACTTCACAAAGTTACAGATTCATTATTAAGTAAGTTTGTCTGCCAATTAAATAGTTATTATCATGTTGTAAAGAAAACGGGAAAATTCCGATTGCTTCCAAAGATATTTCACAGCACAAACCGCAATTTCCCGATTTATTTTTTGTTTTTTTCTGATATCATTTCAACAGATACAAACAAAATTTCATTGCCACTAGTTTGTTATCAATACAACGTTTCGTTTCGAAGAAATGATCATCAATTTTATTTTTTATATGACCCGCATTTTTAGCGCATTTTTGGAAAAAAATACGCTATTATATTCCATAAGGCTGGCTGGCTGCCCGACTGAGAACTCAGCAATTACAATAGCTAGAGACTTCAAATGTTCGCTAAAAGCTTTCTGTTATAGTGTAGATGTGCAGGCACTATTCTATTTTGAGTTAGATCTCACGTGAGATCGATAATTTTAAACTTTGCTAATAAAATACTGATCTGCATTACCAAAAATGCATAATATTATGCTGATTTACAACTTGTTTATTACGAATACAATAGTCTGGGCAAGAAATTCAGTAAAGCGCATTGTAAACGTTCTAACAACAAATCGTGAGAAAGATTTTAATGTGTTTTTAGGACACTGCTGAATCCGATTTCGCCTGTCACCACCTCGAATTCTCAAATCAAGACAGCAGTCAAAATGGCGGCTAAAACTCACTTTAACATTTTTAACAAGAATGTCATCATGAGTTTTATGTAACGTATACGTGTTTCCACTTATTACTATATTATGAAACATTTTGAAGCAACAAAAATTAAGATGAAGGCTGAAATGGCGCTCCAAATACCGAGTTTTCTAGTATTCTTGATTTAGTTTACTTTAAGTGAGCAAAAATTTTGCTTTTTTGCAAAATCGGATTCGGCAGGGTCCAAAACGCCCAGATACCATGTGTATTTCCCGATTTCCCTCACAGCGTCGACATCGGGGAATCCTAGCTTTGATTGAAAAAAATTAAAAAGGTTCAAATAATTACAATAAATACAAAGAATTTTAAATAGCTTTTTGGACTTTATTTTTTAAAATCTCCATTGAATCTTTCTCGATTGACATTTTTTTATTTTTTCAGAAATGTCCATCGTCTCTTTTTGGATTGAATTTTTTAGTGTTATATTTTAGAAAAGCGGATTTAATATGCAATCGTTTTTAACCAATAAAGGTCGAAGTAACAGATTCGCAGATAAGTAGTAAAAACTGACATAAGTTTCAGTCTGATTAACGACATGCCATTTTCAAAGCAAAAATTACTTATGCTAATCTTCCAATATAAATTGGCGGAATCTAAGTGGTAAACACTAACAAATTAAAGGCCATACTAAAGATTATGGAGGGCATGTCCTTAAGGAACAGGGACAGGAACTTTGGAAATGGTTTAAATTATACAGGGTGTTACATTTAAGTCCGATAACTTTTTACCTGGCCTCGTATACTTATATTGAAAACGGCAGATTATTCAAGAATAATTTGAAAGAAACTTTTGTAATAAACCTTTCTCTGTACTTATCTCTTTCAGCTATGAACCGGTAATTCTGAAATTGAGTTTTTTTTTATTTCTTCTCGTATCTTTAAGCGAGCGAATATTTTAAAATTTTGATTTTACTATTAAGTTTGGCCCAAAAAGAGCACATGACCCCTATATTACTTTTTTGATATCACTAACAACTCCCCTACAAAAGTGTTAAGAATTTCCACCCCGTTAACAACAATGAAACTGCACATTACTCCGTTGTTGCAGTCACCTCATCAGGATGCACGATTGTTGTCTCAAATCGTCTTCCGTTTGTCTTGCAGAGGGATGAAAATGGACGGTTGTTTAGAAAGGCGAGGTGAGGTTATTTAGATTTTGGCGATTAACCCGTGATACAAAATGACGTGTTCTTGAATGTTTAGTGCTGGCGGTTTGGTGACTGCTATGGCGCCCGTGGTTATTAACGATGGTGGATATTGGGTAGGATGGCCAGGTATACATCTGGATGACCGCAATGAGTCCATTCCCGAGTCGGATCCTAGTGATATTACTCCCACAGCTGGATTAAAGTCTGATAAGGTTTGTTTCTATTTAGGAAAAGTAAAAGTACCCTAAAATTTAGCGAAGTTGGAGGCGATAAAAGTGTTTATATCTAAAGATTATTTAAATCTCAAAAGATTAAAAAAAAATTTCTACGACCTGCATTGTTTGGTGAAATAGGCATTGATCTCGTTTCCAACTAATTTTTAGAAATACATTAACGGATTAAATGACACAGTAGACGTTTACATGACTAATTCCAAGCAAATTTCTAGGTAGTTCCAGTTCACATAGGTTCCACAAAATTTAATGATTACTACAATGGTTGCTGCAATGCCACATTGTGGCCGTTATTTCTCTCAATGCCAGATAGAGCAGTATTTAGTCGCGACCATTGGAAAGCATACGTCGAAGTCAACAAGGAATTCGCAGACCGCACATTCGAAACGCTCAAAAAAGTCTATAACTCGAACTCGGGCAATCGAGACGATGCTCCCTTAGTGTGGATACACGATTATCATCTGACTATTGCACCGAATTGGATACGAGAGGTACGCGTTTTATTTTCGATTTGACCTAACTAACTTTGACATTTAGGCGGCTACAGACGAGGACATAGGTTGTAAGATAGGTTTCTTCCTCCACATTCCGTTCCCGTCTTGGGATATATTTCGATTACTCCCATGGGCCGATGAAATACTACAAGGAATGTTAGCGTGCGACATGGTAGGGTTTCACATTACCGACTACTGCCTCAACTTCGTCGACTGTTGTCAACGATGTTTAGGTTGTCGAATTGATAAGAAAAATCTAATGGTTAAGCACGTCGGCAGGACCGTACGTGTGCGGGCTTTGCCCATTGGAATACCGTACGAGAGGTTTGTGCAATTAGCCGAGAAGGCACCCAAAGTATTATCGACCAACCAGAAAATTATTTTGGGAGTAGACCGGTTGGATTACACAAAGGGTTTGGTGCATCGTTTTTTGTCCTTTGAGTCACTTTTGGAAAACTTTCCCGAGCATCGTGAAAAAGTTTCGTTTCTTCAAATTGCGGTACCCTCGCGCACTGATGTTAAAGAGTATCAAGATCTGAAAGAAGAAATAGATCAACTCGTCGGGCGAATTAATGGAAAGTTCAGTACGCCGAATTGGGCACCGATCAGATACATTTACGGCTGCGTAACTCAGGACGAACTCGCCGCCTTTTATCGAGAGGCGGCCGTCGGGCTAGTGACACCATTACGAGATGGAATGAATTTGGTTGCCAAAGAATTTGTCGCCTGTCAATTAAACGTCCCCCCAGGTGTGCTGATCGTGTCATCTTTTGCGGGTGCCAGTGAAACCATGCACGAGGCAATCATCTGCAATCCGTACGAGATCGAAGGCGCATCTGAATGTCTGCACCGAGCACTCACAATGCCCGAGGACGAACGAATACTAAGAATGAATTACTTGCGAAGGCGCGAGAAACTCAACGATGTTTACTATTGGAAAAGATCGTTTTTACAGGCGATCGGTTCTTTGGTTACGCAAAATGAGGATGAGAGCATCGACAATGTAACTATTCCCGAAGTTACTCTGGACGATTTCGACGAGTATCTCGTAAAGTAGGTTTCTTCGTAATTTTGAGCAAATGTTTACACTCAAGCACTTTCAGATACTTCGGGAACAATCACAAACTTGCGTTGCTATTAGACTACGATGGTACCTTGGCTCCAATAGCTCCACATCCTAATCTCGCAATACTACCAACGGAAACAAAAAATGTATTGCAAAGGTTGTCGAATATGCCAGACTGTTATATAGCGGTAATTTCTGGAAGAAACGTCAACAACGTTAAGGACATGGTAAGAGTATCGAGCCGATTTCAGCGACTAAGTCTCAGTTGTAGGTTGGAATTGAAGGGATAACTTACGCAGGTAGTCACGGGTTGGAGATTTTACATCCGGATGGGAGCAAATTCGTACACCACATACCTACGGAAATGCAATCGAGGTTGTCGGAACTCCTGCAGCAGTTGCAGGAGCACTTCTGCAGAGATGGCGCCTGGGTTGAAAACAAGGGGGCCGTACTCACATTCCATTTCCGCGAAACTCCCGCTCACTTACGGACCCAGCTAGAGCGACAGGCGAAAATTTTAATAGAGGGAGCTGGGTTTATTGCGGCGAAATCCCTTTGCGCCTTGGAAGCTCGTCCGCCTGTCGAGTGGAATAAAGGCAGGGCTTCGATTTACATCTTGCGCACGGCTTTTGGTGTGGATTGGAGCGAGCGTATTAGAATTATTTACGCCGGCGACGACACCACTGATGAAGATGCTATGGTGGTACGATTTAGTTACTTAGATAGTTAGAATGAAGCTCCCTACCCCGTTTTTTAGGCTTTGAAAGGTATGGCGGCGACATTTAGAGTGATAAACTCTCCAATTACAAAGACCTCGGCGGAACGCCGATTGTCATCTACCGATTCAGTCCTAACACTTTTAAAATGGGTTGAAAGGCACTTGAACGGGCGAAAACCACAGCAAAATGACACACGCAAGAATTCAAATTCGCCCAAGGAAGGCGCGCAGATGGAGATGTCATTTGTACAGCCGTCACCAGCGTAAACGACACTTCACAAAACAATTTTTTAGGAAGAAAATTATATTAGGAGTGCGAAATATTTTTTATCAATGTTTCATGGTGTAACAGTTTCTTACAATATAGGGGTACCCTTGATCATATTAATTAATTTTGACTGTTTACTGTGTAATGGTGAATATTTTGAAAAGTGACAGATGGCTATCTCGTGATTTATCTTTTCTTGTAATTACCCTGTTAGGAAAATGGACTGTGGTTCTCTCACCGTAAAATAAAAATACCTCTTGCCCAGAATCAAGCCCTTGCTTGCAGTTCTCAAAAAATTCAAATTCGTCATATTCTGAACCATTAACATAAGGAAAGCACCATTAAACTCGTTCCAACCACCAAAATCTTATAAAAACGCACCTATACCCATGCAGTGTCTTGGAAAGAGCCCATGACATTGCAAAAAACTGTACCTAGGGACGTTACCTCCCTAAGGTACTCAGCCAAGAAGTGGTGAACTTCACATCGAGGCAGTAACCAACCTAATGTTGTACTGATTACTGCGATGCGGCATGATTTTAGGAACCTACAGTGGCATCCTGAAACTCGTATAAATGTAATCTAAAAAATCAATCGTGTATCCTACACCACTCAAGTACTAACAGACAGTCAGAGTCACCCCTACTGGTGCTCGGTTTCACACCATTTCTGGTGAGTTACTCCTTAAAAAACAAAAATATATTGGTAACAAGTTTTATATAATTTGAATGTTTATATTACAACAAGACGATTTCGAGAAAATACCTACGTATACGTGAAAACACCCCGAGTCTACACAGACCCCACCCAGTATATAAAATCGCGCACGCCTCATACACGAAAGAAACCCAGCAATGCTGACATCTAATGAAACAAGTTGTAAATCAGCATATGCATGATGAAAGCGCATTTTTGGTAATACCGATCAGTATTTTATTAGCGAAGTTTAAAATTATCTATCACAACTATCTAACTCAAAACAGGCTAGAGCCTGTACATCTACACTATATCATAAAGCTTTTAGTGAAAAATTGAAGTCTCTAGCTATTGCAATTGCTGAGATCTCAGCCGAACAGCCAGCCAGCCAGCCATAACGAATATAATGGCGTATTTTTTTTCAAAAATGCGCTAAAAATCCAACACGTTTTATATACGAGACAACACTGACACATATTTCCTTATCTCCTTATTTACTAATATTCCTTTAACAACTAATCTTTCGTGAATCAACCATCATCAACGTAATCATACACTAATCAACGCGAGGACTACCATAGTGAACAAAGGACGATAGTGCACGAATAAAAAATCAGGCGTTACCTGTTAGGTGTTGCCAAAATTGCTACGAACATGCCTTTTTGTCGTATACACGATTTTTGTTTTTTTAACTCTGATAATGATGTGTTATTTTTGTTGTATGCAGTTTATTTTTATTTTTGAATAACTTCTATTTTAATCAAAATATAAATATGGTTATTTTTTTACGTGTTAAAGAAACATTTGAAAATGTTTTATTATAATTTATTTGTCCTGTTAAAAATACCATTTTTCACTCGTAATGCCATAATTAATGTTATTGAGTATTCAAACTGGGTTGAGCTTCTACGTAGTAGTTGTTTGAACTCATTTCTTTTGGAAATAACAAGTGCGCAGTTCTTAAGTTACTCTGTTTTCTTCGAACATAATGTGCGATTTTATTTTTATCTTTATCTTGAACATTGTGTTAAGTTGTTTTCAATAAATGCTTTATTATTATTATATGATTTCCTACGTAATATCACAGATTAACAATCCGTGGTAATATGTTGCTGTATGGTATACTAAACCATAAAAATAAAAACATCTACGAAACACTTCATGTTTTGTAGAAAAAAGATTTTCGGCGTCTTAGACCGATGCGACCAATGGTATTCTGTAAAATCGCGCGACTACCGCAGGGTTAAACAAAATGCTCACCAAAACAAGGAACGAGTATAATGCGTGTCGGCAAAACAGAACCTGGAGTTTATTGAGAACTGCCGATTAGTCGTTTTTCCAAAGTTTTGGATGCACTAGTTCGCATTTTCTCCCTTAATTAATATATGTAAAAGGTATACTCTTTGGTAAAAGTTATCTAATGTTAATATCGATGTGCTTTGAGACAGCTTTAGCTGGAGCGATTTTATCATATGCTTTTGATCGAGAGTTTTTCCAAGAGGCAACAAAATGTTAGTGAATTAAAATTAAAATATATTACGCATTTCTACACGCATTTTTATCACTAATTGCACAAGAGGTTTGTATTTTACCGAGTAAATTTGGGTTGTTAAGGTAATGAAAATCTGTTGCCTAGCAATTAGACGAGAAAAACTGTCAACTAATAAAAATGCGACACCGCAGGTAGAGCATTTTTAGGTTGACAGTTTTTCGAGTCCAATTGCTAAAAGGAAACAGATTTGAATTGCCACAACCCAAATTTACTCGGTTTAAATACAAACCTCGAGTGTAATTCGGCAGGACAATTTAACGAACAACAAATTCACGAAACTAATCAATTATTGACAAACGTCGAACTAGTCAGATGAGACAGGATAATGCGATAATTGGTTCGAAAATGAATAGTGAAAAAACCACTAGTGCATTTGTCGCTGGAAAAGATGCAGGTAACTTTTGCCGCTGTCAAAGTGACAATTGCACTGCGGCTTATGCGATTTTTTATACATGAGTTGAATTGTCGCTATTAAAAAAACTACCTAGCTTTTAATCACTTGATCATTGGAAATATGTAACTAGGCCCAGGCCTGTTTATTTCAATAAATAAATAAATAAATCATCTGATTGGTTAGAATTTGAAACAATCACCAAGCTGATTGGTCGTATATTAATGGAATGTATTAATAACAGATAAAATGGAGTCAGTTGTATTTGATAATAATTGTATAGTACGGGTAGTTTTCGAAGGATTTAATATTTTTTTGCGACCGTGACAGGACTGAGGTGAATTGTGATATCTAAATACTTTGCAGAAGTTGGTCATAAACAGTATAAAAAAATCCTATCCTAGATTGTGTAGTTTTCGGACCTCGCAATAAAGATTCTGTAATATGGATGAGGTGATTGAAATCAAGAAAAAGCACAGAAAAGTACTTTGTTCATGCATATCAAAGTTTCTTAATGAATTAGACATTTTAGTAAAGAAATAGGCGGTAATACAAAAGAAGTAGAAGTGTTTTGGGAGTGCTTTAAACTTAAAATTGAAGACCTTGCCACGATCAACTCTGGAATTTGCAGCTGGTTATTAGAGTGGTACCTCCGAAGAGTCTTTAATCACAGAAATGGAGCAGTGTGACGTATACCAAGAGAATGACTACCTACAGGGTGAAGATTGGCAAGCTGTTAAGTTTGAGGTAAACGTAAATTTAAGTTAGCTCTTATTCAGTTTAAACTGTAACTACGACGGTAATGTAAAGGATCGGTTGCCTTTCTAGGCTCCATTTTGAAAATTCATACAGATTCTGCTTTAGACAATTGCGATAAAATAGATTACTTAGTGCAAGCTACCGTTGCGGATAGCCGAGCTCGTCAAATAGAGAGTTTAACAAAATTATTGACTGCGAGATTTGGCCGCGAAGACTTGCAAATCGAGGTATATGTTCGCGAGTTGTTAGAGTTGGTATTAAATAATGCGATTTCAAAAGAAAAGCAGGACCTGTCTAAACTGTATGATGTGATTTAGACCGAGTTAAGGGGTCCAGGTACTTTGGGCATTACATCGGACAAATATGCGGCACTTTTGTTTCCTTTGATTGAGTCTTGTTTGCCTCGAGACTTACTGCGTATTTGGCGAGATCCAACTTCAATTCTTGTGGTGCGAGGCTAATGACACTGAAGATTTGGCAGCCTAGGGTAGTGGTGGCTCTCCCTTGGAAGTTCTTAAGTGCTGAAGGAGAAAATGAGCAAATGATTTAGTTATCGATGCACTCACTTTCCAGATTATTGGTGTCGATCAGGGTGTCGATATTTTAGGATCTATCTTTTTGGGGGACGGTAATAAAAGCGCGGTGTTGTCTTTTTTACCTGTGCCGTGTTTCGTGCGGCGCACATAGAAAAGACCGTATCATTATCTACTCTTAATTTTATTCAACGTGTTTGGTAGTTTTATTGCTCGACGGGGTAGACTTAAAATGCTATATACTGTAGGTAGTGATAGCGGGACTAATTTTCGTGGTTCGGACAAGTTTTCGAAACTCTAGATTGGAATACTATAACGAAAGACACAAATACACAACGAATTATTTGGCGGTTCAAAACCCACCTACAGTGGATCTTGGTGGGTAGGGTTTTTTGAGAGACTAATAGGGATAGTTAAACATTTGTTAAGAAAAGTTTTAGGTAAACCTTTTAGGCTATGAAGAAATAAGTGCTTTATAAGTAGACATTAATCAGAAGACTTCTATTGTCAGCACAATATGATCGATGTATGAAGCTGATGGAGGTACTATTAATAACTGTCTTGAAAACAGTCTCCATCTCCATACTGGTTGATTCAGAAAACATGATAATCGTCTTTTCTTCATTTTTACAAAATGTATTACGTATTATGTACATAGATCGTAGAAATTTGAGACGTGCATCAATTAATACGGGATTGCCCTACATTTTCTTGTGGTCTTCTGAAAACCATGAAATGAAATGGATCATATGCTATTCAAATAATCTAATCTCTTTGCGTACTACGAACAGATCAGTAACTCGTCGGAAAGTTCCATAGTTAAACATTTCCATTTCCACCTTTGCAAGGTAGTCTCTCATTATTTGAGTTTAGGGAATAGTAGTGCAACGCATGCTTGGTGTATGGTATGCTGTTGAGAATTAAGGCTTGACAACAGTACAGTAAAAATTAAACTTATTTTCGATGGTCTCGAGAAGGCTTCTAACTGGTCCACCTGAGGTTGCTGTTGGTGGTAAGTACTTTTAGATTCATCATTTCTAACATCCATGTTGGTACTGGATGACAGCACACATACTTTATTAAAGCAAATGATGCTATATATATTTATTAATATACAGAGACATATTTAACTCTTTTCCTCGGTTTTTAAATTTGAAAGAAACGGAAAATTTGGGATCATCTGTTATCGAGATGATGGAATCTTACCAAGTACAATTACCTCAAACAAACCCACTCACTAAATAGATAAAACGATAACGTGCTGTTTACAATCACAAATTACTTAATACTATGTATCTTGCTTAAAAAATGTATGTACCTCCTGGAATTATAAAGGACACCATATCTCTATAAAAATTGTTGGTTCATTTTTCTTTTGATGCCCTTGACATTGTGGTGAAGTTGGTAAGAAGTTTTAAAAAAAAAGATTGGGAGTTGGTTCTTGAAGACAGATCTTTATTGCAAATACAAGTCGTACAAGGTTTAATTTTGAAACGTGCATCAATACCTATCGGAAGTAATGGAAGTAATGGGAGATTGGGAGTTGGTTCTTGAAGACAGATCTTTATCCCTTCATAAATCAAAACGCGTAGGTTTAACAGATATTATATGCGAATCGCATTTGCGAAGTTGCTTATTAAATTGTGTACACGTTGCTTTGTACACATTTAAATATTTAAACAAGATAACTTCTACATCAAATTAATTAAGATTGCGCTATTATTGCCCTTTTTTTGCAATTAATCTCTTTAGGTCTTTACGTGCAATTCTTTACTTTTTCGCATGCTTATTGGAATGAGGTATAAACAAATCAATGCAGACGGTAACTTCAACTTTCACTCGCCGTTAATTACAGAAGTTAATCATTATCTTTCTGCCGTTTCGTGTATGTTATGTATAGAAATTTTCCTCCTATTTTTGTACCTTGAAATGTTTTTTTATATAGGAAGGGAATTTTCCGCCAAAACAACAGATTTAAAGTCATTAGTGACCAGATATTTATATGCAAATGGCAAGATAGGAAACGATTCCAGGGTGAAATATTTTCCATTGTCATGCTTACAATATCTAGTTGTCAAATGTATTGACATAGGATGTTAACAGTAGATCGCTGTTTTTTATGCTCTGGTTTTTGGCAGTCGTAGTGCGATAAGATTAGCGTTCCTATGATTGAAGAAGACAAAAACACCAACGAGTAACGACGTTGTGGTGGGACCGGCACCCGAAATACAACTCAACTGACCACAACCTTTGGTATACCGTACAATTTTTTGGTAAACATAAAATCCATTTCATTACTATAGATAATTGACCATGAATGTTATTAACCGCAAGTATTGTTACATAATGCATTTTTATTTGAGAATTGGATCAAGGTAAATTAATCTCTTTGTTGTAAATAATTCTTTGGCGTATTGCAAAATTTTATACAACCAAGGTAGTATCTAATTCCTATAAAATTACCGGTAGTAATTGCTTGTTTGTGAGTGCGTTAATCTTCAAATGTATAATTAGCAATTATTTCAGTAATTATCACATCAAAACCGCGATGAAGTACGTTTCCATAAATAGGCAATGTAGGTAGTACTTTTAAGTGACCATGTTGATAGTCGTTTAGTGAGACGAAGATGTTCCTGACATTTCACTGCGTGCAGTACGATTGGCCTATGTGTGTGGAAATATTCGGCATTGATACGAGAATGAAATGTGGTACTTCAGCTTATTTACACTTAGCTTTAGCATTTAGCACTCCACGAAACGTCTTCATAGTACAGTTATGCCTAAGTTTTCGTAAAATTAATAGCAGAAGTATGCTCGCCAGGAGAGAATCCCGGTCACAGAATACTTGATCCCACCTACAATATTATCCGGCATCGGGTGTTCTGTGACCGGCATTCTCTTCTGGCGAGTATAATATAAACCACAGGCCAAATTTAAAAGTGCCTTATAAGGGATAAATATAACGTTGACCATTGAACTTTTTACGTCCATTGGTTGTGCTAAGTAATTCTGAAATCGGACCAACTCCTAACACGAATCACCTATGCTATGGTGGTAAATCTACACAACACCGGGCCTGTGTAAACAACATGGGCCTACTGTTGCTCAAATTTGTCCGCTACCGGGTACGTAGATACCCAGACTCGTGAAATCCACACCTAACCTTTTCCAGGTGAAATTCCTGCTTTTTATAATGTGGTAATTGTAATTCCGACTAGTTACTGTTGGAATTTGGGCCAATTATTAAACTTTAAAGATGATCGCATGTAAGCTCCTTTGTAATAATTTAGAACGTGCCAGTTTTAAAATAAAGTGTCCAATGAAATTTGGTTGACATAAGTTCTTGTGTTTCGGAAACATCGTTTGTAACTGAGAAGACACCATTTGTAAATTTGCTTGCATTACATTTGTTTCAGTGACGTCCATTATACTTAAGAACGCATCGATTACACGACTGTAATTTTAAAAAGTTTTTATTAAATACTCGTTATTTTACGTCCCACTTACACATGAACTGACTGAATTACATTTCAAAGTATCTCAGTTCAAGTGCATTAAGCGAGGCATTAAGTTATTCCAACCTAAACCGAAACACTAATTTGTGCTTGTAGCATGTACTTTTCGACTAGGAACAAAGATTTCCGATCGCCATCAAGTTTGGCATAACTGCAATTCAATATAGGCTTATAGCCGGTGTAACATACAGGGTGGCCCAACGAAAACGAAACAGACTGAATAACTTGTAAGGAAATAGTTTTTGAAACATCGTCGATTTGGGTTGGAAGAGGGACATCTTTTACTTCAAAATTTACATCCCTGCTGTCAACCCCCTAAGCATGGTTACCACCTCTTCAATAATTTGAATTGGAACGTTGGGTCGAGTGGCACGTCATTGGAAAGGGTTCTTAATTTCCGACACGCCTATGCTTTATATTCATATTTGAGCGAGTCATTTGTAGGACACAGGGTGTTAAATCACGAATAATTCAAACGAATATTCAAGCTTTTTCATTAATGAACACGTTTATAAGAAATATTAGTTACACAAAACATTCCTGAAGAACATAAAACAAGAATCGACATAATAAACCCTTCTAATAACCCTGAAAAATATGAACCTGATATGTCAAAAGCCAATGTATTGGATTGGGTTAGCTCGGTTTTTAGGTACTGATTTTAAAATTCTGATACTTTGAAAAGCCAAAAACTAAGGATGCTGCAACCAAAAAACCAAAAATAAGTACTACCTCCTTCACTGAAGAAGACATGGAACCCGTTAAGAAATTTATGGAAACCCAATCATCCGCATTGGTTCTCACTTTCGAAGAATTTCGCGATTTCTTCGAAAATGTTCAAGGATCCACGGATCCATTAAGCATTGCCAAAACGTATACATCTAACATTGAAGCACTACTTACTATGCTCACGGAATTATACCCTCTCTTTAATACAAGATCTATGAAATCAAGATGCACAAAAGCAAGAAATAGAATACTAAGACAACTTGATGGTGCCGAAACCGACTCATCTCAAGAAAGCCTCACTTTCTAAACTCCTCAGTTAATTTAATAACGTTTGTAGTATCATTAAACTTGCCTATATTTTTTTGTTATGCTAAATATTTATTATCACTGCACTGCTTTTAGAGATGCCAACTGGGAAGCAGTATTTGAATGTACAAAGGACACGAACGCAGCCCTTGTTTGCTTTTATGATGTTGTATATGAAATTTTCAATCGCGTAGTTGCTAAAAGAAAGAAAAACACGTCCAAATATCCAATATGGTTTACTAATGAGATTATTAATACTTTCAAAATAAAAAATTATTATCTCAGATTAAGAAAATTGTCCGCTCTCCATGATATAAACTTAGAGAGGCTAGGAGTACTAGGTTAAAGCGATTGACTAGGGCTGCCTATGTGAATTACTTATATGAAACAGAGCAAGATATTAATACCAACATAAATCATTTCTGGACTTACGTTAAGCAGCAAAGGAAATCGGATTGTAACATACTTTCAGTTGCTCCTGACTCCTTTGGCCAGTATTTTAACTCGGTCTATTGCAATGATAAAAGCATTTATGCAACCAACTTTCCGAATGACCGTAAAGTTATCTCGAACGATATGTTCACACTAAATAAAATTACAGCAGAAAACTACAGAAATGCTATTAATAGTTATTTATGGTATAAGTGTGTTATATTACAAATAAGTCACGCGAGAAAAAAGTAAGCCCACGAGGCCGTCAGGCCGAGTGGGGTTATTTTCTCAAGTGACTTATTTGTAATTAACACACGTGCACCATACAAAACTTTATCCAACACCTCCTCAAGCTGGTTTAAAACGTGGAAATCTTAAAAACTGCGTGTTCCGCGAAAAGCTAGAGTGCATGGAATACAAAAGCAATAATTCGTTGCTATGGGGAATAATAAACAACAAAAAATTTAGTCAGAAAATTTAATGGATTTACTTATGGTTCCTGTACTTTATCTTGCTAGTGAGTTATTTTACGTCCATAACTCATTAGTGGGTTATATTATAGGTACCTTACTCGTTTAATTTCGTCATGATAATGAATGGATAACATAGAGGTGTTGGATAAAAAATTAAAACCAAAAAAGGCAGCGGGTAATGACATGTTTCCTCCATATATAGTACGAGGTTGTTCAGAATGGCTCGAAAAACCACTACTTCATATATACAATCTAGCAATTAAGACGGAAACCTTTCCCGATATGTGGAAGGAATCGATTGTCGTACCAATTTACAAATCCGGGAATAAGAAATTGGTTGAAAACTACCGACCTATAGCAATACTTTCAGCGCCCGCTAAACTTTTTGAACTAATATTGCACAAAAAACTGGTCATCCATATAAAACCTTCATTAGATGATTCCCAACACGGGTTCGTGTCCCACAAATCTACTTTAACAAACCTATTAACTTTCACTAATCACGTCCAGGAATCTCTAGACTCCAAACAGCAAGTTGACGTGGTCTATACAGATTTTACCAAAGCTTTCGACAAAGTGGATCACGATTTGTTACTGGGAAAACTGTATTTACATGGACTAACTCTCCATTGGCTAAATTTTTTTGCTTCATATCTAAAAAATCGCACCTTCAAAGTAAAATTTGATGGTAAACTTCAGGAAAGTTTGAGGCCAATTCAGGTGTACCTCAAGGCTCCAACCTAGGACCACTGTTGTTTTTGATTTTTATTAACGATTTGCGTATGTCCATAATTACCTCAAACTCACTTATGTTCGCAGATGACTTAAAAATCTATTCTGAGGTCGTCTCTGTTGAGGATTGTAACCTCCTTCAAAAGGACATAGACCGTCTACTTAAGTGGGGCCTTAACAATAAACTTCCACTAAATATCTCCAAATGCCTAGTTTTATCTATATTTCGCACCAGAATCAATATAAGATTCGATTACGAAATGTTTGGAACAAAACTAAAACGAGTGGAATCTATCAAAGACCTTGGTGTTGTGTATGATTCTTCTCTCAACGTTAATAAACACATTGAAAACATTGCTACTAGCGCTTACAAAATGTTTTGTTCTTAGACAATCTGCTAATTTTAAATGCATTCGTACGTTAAAAATCTTGTACTTCACGCTGGTCAGACCCAGGCTAGAGTATGCATCCGTAGTTTGGCATCCCCATACACTTTACGAAATAAAACGCATCGAAAAAGTTCAAAATAGATTTCTAAGATTCCTATATTTAAAAAAAAATAACACCTACCCCGAATTTAATGTTAGATCTGCAGATCTCAGGCATGAATTTGAAATACAAAGTCTTGCTAATCGCAGAAGTATAGCTTTGGTACAGTTTGGTCATAAACTATGGAATAATCTAGTGGACCAAAGCTATCTGCTATCCTTAATGACTCTTAAAGTTCCTAATCGGACGACACGTTCAACTGATATGTTTCACATTCCGACGACTACTTTTCGCTTCCACTCACCCCTCTTAGCTATGTTGCGTTTGTTGAATCAGTTGCTAACGTCAATTATTGATCTTGATTTATCGTTGCCGTTTAAAAAATTACCAATAAAAGGGAAGTTTCAATAAAGATTTAGAGCCTATTTCAAAGACCCTAAAATACTTAAGTGTAGGTCAAGATGAAAACAACACCACAAAGAGCAAAGCTAAAGGACTTTTGAAAAGAACTGTCTGTCGTTACTCTTGTGGGCCAACTAAAGAATATGTTTGACTTTTAAAAACGTTTAGCATTTGATGGTGAACTGTTAGATCTGAAACTTGAAGATACACCCCAGATGTTCAGAAAAAGGAAAAGATTTCTTGATGAAACAGATCCATCGGAAAATTCTGGGCCTGAAAATAAACATGGCAATGGAAGAAGATTTTTCCAAGTTCACAAGAATAAAGCGAACTGCTTAAAATCAAGTAAAATCCAGAAAACAGACGCCATCTAGCAGTTTTAGCTATTGAAAATGTCTTGACTTAAAATCTTGACTTATTTAAAGACGTAGAGTTTGCGAATGTTAAAGCAAGGCGTAAGAAATTCCAGTAAACTTCAATTCAATTTCTACATTTTTCCGCAATTTAAAATACGCTAACCAATTACCCGTCTCTTGTTAAAGTTAGATTCTCTGAAACATGACTCAGTGGTTACATTTTACATGTTTGTTTATTGGATTTCATTGTTTAAACTGTAAAATAACCTCTAAATAGGTGATTTGGAACCACCAAAACCACTTCCACTGTAAAAATTACCTAATAATATCAACATAATATTGTAAAAGGTCAAATTAGACATAGCATTGGAGTAAGCGTACTATATTTCTAAAGATGAAACAGCAGGTGAAACAGTAATATTTTTGTTAGTAACTTAAACTACAAACATTACACTTGGTAATAATAGGGGGGGGGGGTATCTCAAATTCAAGGGGTCCATAGAGGCAAAATATGTGGATCCGACCAAGTATAGATTATTTTGTTCTAGCGGCATAGAGGAAAAAAAGTACAAAATGAGTACAATAAACGCAGTGAACGTTTTACCAACTGAGTAATTAGGTGTTTCACCTCGTATAGATTATATTATTCTACAATACTTCCTTGAAAATCATGTATTAAAAATTGTAGTGGTAGCCACTTTGATATGAATACCATACACCTTGCAGAATTGTTTCCTTTACCTAAAATTCAGGAAGCCGAAACGCCAAGGAAAAAAATAAACAGCAATAGCAAGGTTACAAATACGAAGGTTTGCATAAACAAATTTTCATCAAATATTAATGAGATGCCACCAAATCATTTGCAATTCCTTCCGTACTAAACTAATTAACTATACATTTACTGTTTATTATTATGACCATTGATGAATGGTTTATAATTACTATCATTAATACATTAATTAGGGGTTGCGACATAATTTTGTCATCGCAACAGGTAAGAAACGAGATGTGGCTTTCGTAAAGGTCTTCTGGATTCATAATTACCTTCAATGCAAATTTGATCATTTAGATGTTGTAAAGAAACCACATAAGAGTAGTTTTTTAATTACCGCTAAGATTAAAAAATGGTAGCTACTTTATAAACTGAGCAGAATTGAAGCAAAATATTTGATACGGTTATTTGGGAGAAAATAAGCATCTGAAGGAATGAAAAAATGTTTCGTCTGTCCTTATATTCATTCACGGGATATAGGATACAAGTATGACTCAAATGAAAAAAGGATCGGGAGAGAAGTTCTACACTATTATACTTAGGTTGAAATTTGGATCACCAAAAGAAACGTTTTGTGAAACGCTCCATTTATGTAATTGGCAACACTATTATTTCATTATAAGATAATTTTGTAAGTGTATTGCACGATAGTCGATACCTTGACATATTTTAAATCTTCGTAGACACGAACCGTAATTTTCCAAAAATTCACCCCCGGGTAAGTTAGATCACCCTAAACGTCCATCGCCCACACCTAATCATAATTAAGGCGGAGCAAAGCTGTACATATAGTAAACAACAAAGAAAGATTATTTAGTAATCGGTTCCGATTTGAAAATGAAACTTGCTCGCGTATCAATAAACCACGTTTAGTACTTTGTGTAAAGATGCCAACTGCACATTATCCCGTTGTTGCAGATACAGTCACCTCATCGGGATGCATGATTGTCGTCTCGAATCGTCTTCCCTTCGTCTTGCAGAGGGATGAAGATGGACGGTTGTTTAGAAAGGCGAGGTGGGATTATTTAGATTTTGGCGAGTAAACTGTGATAAAAATGTGTTCTTGTTTGTTTAGTGCGGGCGGTTTGGTGACCGCCGTTGCGCCCGTTGTTATTAACGGTGATGGTTATTGGGTAGGATGGCCCGGTGTACATCTGGAGGATCACAATGAGCCCATTCCCGAGTCGGATCCTAGTGATATCACTCCCACCGCTGGATTAAAGTCTGATAAGGTTTGTTTCTATTTAGTATTTTGCTCGCAACATTTTGTGCGAGTGCTGATACCAAAACAAAAATCCGTAAACTAGTAAAAGTGTAAATTTCCAAAAATTGGCGCCGATTAATTTGTCTATATCTAAAGATTACGTGAATTTCAAAAGATCGTCAACGACCTGTGGTGTTTGCTGAAATAATTTTTTGTGGCTTAGGGTTTATTCTTACCTTCAACTGTGTCTCCAAATTTGAAAACGTATAGGTAGTACTTTGTCAAAAAATCATTGAATGACTGGGGTATACGATAAGTTATTAAAAGATGAAGATATCAGGTCGCGTTGAATAGCGTGATTATGTGAAAGTTACATTCTTAGCGTAAGCATTACAAATAAGGAAGCACGGAAGGAAGGTCAATATAATTCAACGTTATAATTAGCGAGTAAAAAACTAATAAAGTGCTTCACAACTGACCTTACATGCACAGCAGTTAATAGCTTCTGATCCAATCAGACAATAGGGGTAGTTTTTAGTGTATGATTTGCAAGATAAGATTGTAGTTTTTCTCTATTTATGAGAAACATTACAACCAAACTTGCTCAAGTGAAACGCCTTGTCCAATTTTTCATGTCACCTTAAACAGAGCGGTGTTGTAAGTCGAAAATCTTTCCACTTGCCTACAATTTGGATTCCGAAAGGATGCTATTTATTTTTTAATAAAGAATAAGGGAAATTTTGAAACAAAATGGATTAAAGAGCAATTAATCTTCGTATCTCAACTGTGCTCGTTTTGTGCTGATTTAGGCGCCAACTTCTTAGTTTGTGCTCGATTATTGCAAAATGTCGAGTTTATTTATTTATTATCCCCCTCTCGTTCTGGGCCCTCAACAGGCTTGCGCCCAATTACAGAGTGACCCGCATAATGCGAGTTACAGGAGGATTTTCAATTTCCGCCCAATCTTCGTCCTACTTTTGGTAATTTGCGAAATTCCCCATTTTATTCCACAGAGAGAAGAGCGGATTATCTATACATCTATACAATAGGCTATAGCCTAATAAGGGCTGAAAAATAGAGAGGTGTCTATATCAATATATCAAACAATCGTATTAATAGGCATGATGTTAAAATACTATTTGTGAAATATACCGGAGCTTTTGGCATATTACTTCAGTTTTAATTCCCGAACAGCATATTAAGCTTGCGAAATCGTACTGCCCTGGGAAACGTTACCGTTTTAAAATCGGTTTTTTGACATTATCTCCTTTTCAGTTGCTTTAATCCAAGAAATACCTATTACAAAAATTGTAGAGAACTAAATTCTTTGCAAGTTTTGTCTGAAATTTTTGCCATTAAACATATGGTTTTCTGTGCTATATTATATTAAAGTGGGACATATTTCTTAAAATCGCGAAAACGCGCCTTTTTCACAGGAAAAAATAATTCTTAGTCGGTATCTCACGAACTTTCTACGGATTTAACTAGCTAACGGTCGGATGAATGAAACTGATTTTTTTACAGACTAATGATAGGTAGGTACTGCCACTGACTTAAATCTTTTCTCTAATTATAAGATTATCTCATATCTTATAATTAGAAAAAAAAATTAAAAAAGAAACACTATCATAGTCATTGGCTGTACCTATCATTGTCTGTAAAAAAATCAGCTTCATTCATCCAACCGTAATCTAGTTATATCCGCAGAAAAAACCGACTAAGAATTGTTTTTTTACAGAGTTACCAAAAGAGTCATTATCAACGTTTTCATTTGGTTTAGGTATAACTTATTTTCTAAAAAAAGCAATTTAAAATTGGTACCTGAGGCGGCAGACGGTCGATTTTAGCATAGGTACTCGGATAGGTCAAAGTGGAACTCCATCGGTTAAAATTTTGATTTTAAGAAATATGCCCCACTTTGATATAATATAGCACAAAAACCATTTGTTTAATGGAAAAATACTTCAGACAAAACTTGTAATTTCTCTACAATTTTTGTAATACCTAAGTACTTTTTGAATGGAAGCATACATTGATTTTAGTAAAATAGCGGCGTTTCTCAGATAGAACGATGTCGCAAACTTGATATGTTGCACAGGACGTAAAACTGAACTCACATGCCAAATTTCAAAACTCCCCGATTTAATGCAAGGTAGCTTAGCTCCCCATTGATTGGATTATAGGTATACCATTTGGCACCAGGAATTCTCTGTTAATTTTGACGCACGACCTGTGGAAATTGGCGTAAAAATCAGCACAAAGCACTGGGATTTAGAAATGTTAGTGGCAATCCTAAAAACCGCAAAAACTAGAGAGTTGGCACACAAATCAGTACAAAGCGGGCACAAATTAAAGTGCCGATGATTCGGTGTTTGTACTATGCGATCAAAAATTGGTTGCTGTCGAGCCACTTTTGGAATTTTTGTTTACAAGGGAAATCGTACTTAACTCCACAGCAACTCGTTTTTGATCACCCGTTATTTAGGGGACCAATCTAACCCACGCTATATAGCAAGTCAGTTCGTCGCTTATTCAAGTTGGTTTAGGCTATGAAATAATTTCCTTACTTGTGAATCGCTAACACTAATCTCACTATTAATTTTAAACAAAAAGTTGCTTTACGAACTGAATTAAAATGGTTATTTTTTGAATAGTTATCAAATTACTTGACTTTTTTCCAAAAGAATCGTATGGAAAGTGGTACTTTTTTTCACGATTTTTACTATGCGTTTCCATGGCGTTCAGTCCTGTCTAAGGCTCAATTGTTTAATGACAGCAAATCGCGAATGTCAATGATATTATTCAGTAATGGGTTTATTACTATGCAAAAAAATTTCATGAACAACACGTGTTGAAAGTGTCTTTTTTTCATAAATTTGCAGTTTGATTAAGTTCATAACTAAATAACTATTGTACAACTAGTTTTGAAAGTGATATTTTTTTTCATAAATTTGCAGTATAATTAATGAGACCGACGAATTTTTTTTCATAGCGATCCTTATTAACCTATAATTGAATAATATCAATGATATTCGCGATTTACTGTCTCAAAATTATAATAGAAAGGTTGAATTTTGTACAGAAAGCCACCTCGGAACCTACTTATTATAATTGAACCAGCAGCTTACACCGTGAAAGATCTTCCTTGATTGTACACGATTTAAAAACAGAAAACACTGCACCACTAACTTTGTAATGAAAAATTACTGTAAGATAAATTGCAGATTTTCTCCATATAAGGAAAAAACTACTGTACCTATGGCATTGCTCCATTTTTAGTTTATGAGCGGAATTAAAAAATTCCTTCTACAGCGTGTACTCGCCATATGTTAGGGGTAGTCCTCACGCCGCGCCACCGATTTAATTATGTAGACGTTGCTCTCGTTTCGTGATGTTTGGAAATCCAACATCAATACGCGTATGGATTTCTTCGTGATTTACTGTCTCAAAAATTGATGCTATCACATACGACTAAACGCAATGGAAACGCATAGTAAAAATCGTGAAAAAAAGAATATTATTTTTTGACAAAAACTTCCGGTAATTTGAAAAATTTTTATTTTGCAATGGACATTAAGGCAATGTTTTTTATATTTTAGAATTTCATAACGTATCGATAATGTTGTAATGAAAAATGGAAGCAATTTGCAACGATCCCCAATAATCCCTGCAAGGCAAAATTGTATTACTTTCGCCATATTTGCTCAACAGAATTGCTGTACTTCATTTACAATTATTACACCTTAAATTTGACCTAAGAATGGTGATTTTCCTTCAGAAAAAGCTTACTTCTCGGAAAATCTTTGTTTTCCCGCATATGTTTTCGAAAAAAGTACCGTTCCTTTTGAAATGAAAATGATTCTTAAATTGGCAAAGGCATTGGTTTTTATTTTTAATTTTTGAGCAGTTTAGACATTAAAATTTAAAAAGAACAAGTTAATAACCATTTCAGCTGGTTACTTATTAAAATTGGTTCACTGATTGTTTCTTATTTGCCTTTAATGTAGAATTTGGAAATCAATTGGCAAGGATCACTGAATTCCGTTAAAAGGATGAATGTCAATTTCTCCATTTATAAGAAATACTACCACCAAAATTGCTCAAGTGAGACTTACAAGAGGTAATTTCTGCATGAAAAAACACGTTGTTCCATATTTAATTTGGCTTTGGTTTAGAAAAATTTGGAAAATTTTCGTTATTTATTCATACTTTGGAGTTTGAAAATGTTAAAACAGTGCTCACGTGAAATGAATGGCAGCATTACTAGTCGCACATTTAATTTAAAATAAATTCTTGCTTTTTCTCCGGAAAGTTAACTAGAAGCATCTTCTGCAAAACAGATTCTTTTTTTTACTGCGACTAAATTGAAAATTACAATTGTACCATTTAATTTACCATGGAGATTAAAGGCCTGCAGTGATTTCCTATTTTTGACAAAAACTACATAATCTTGATCGAATTGTACGCAAGGCTTGTTTAATGCCACCTCGAATTGAAAATAGAAATACTCTTACTACTTCAATTCAACTGTATACTCATTAAGAGTATCTTTAGATGCAGAAAATCTTGCTTCTTGCGTGTAATTTGAAAAGTTTACATTGATTTGGCACAATACAAGCAATTTGCAACGTTTTCTAAGTCACGTGAAAGTGAAAACTATAATACTTCCCCACGGTGAGAAATATTACAATCAGGGTTGCTCAATTTGGCAGCACTTCTTCATTTATAATTCCACCTCAAATTTGAAAAAAAAGTAATGTTGCTTTTTCTACAGAAAGTCAGCTCAATGCTTTCCCGAGAAAAAGTAATGAAAAAGGGAAAATCTCTAATAATGTCCTGAAAGGAAAAAATGTAATGCTTTCTCGACTTCTGGGTAAAACTACAAAGTTTGCTCAAAAGAATCACGTGGCAGCATTTCTAATTGTGCGCTAAATTTGAAATAAGAAGGTTGCTTTTTTTCCAAAAGAAGCTTACTCCTTAGTCATTATAATTACTTTTGAAAAGCGAAACAAATGTTGGCTCTTCTTCAGCAGATTAACTGTTCTGTTGGTTCATAACCTTACGCCGTGGAAAATTTCTTGTTTATAAATTGGAATTTGGAAAATATGATTAATTTGGAATGAAACGGAAAAGCCTTTAGTAGTTTAACGTAGCTTAACTTGCACGAGAAGATGCTTTCTTGATCGAGAAACGCAACTATAAGCATTTCTTCATTTTGTAATCCGGTGAAATGAAAAGATCTGCTTTAATACCTATTCTTGCGTTAGTTTCGAAGCTTTTGCACTTGAGAGTGCTATAATTTCGAATTTGAGATAGTACCATTTATTATTTTTTAATAGAAAACATAAGCAATTTACATGAACTTTTAAGCGAAAATTACATCTTTTCTGTACCTATGTAAGAAAAACGACATCTAAGCTTTGTGAAACTGATTTCTTAATTTTTAATTCGCTAAGGTGAAATAAAAAAGTAGGTTAATACATGTCGGTGTCGGTTAAAAAGCTTTCCCAGTGAAATTACTTGTCGATAATTTTAAATTTGAGAAAATATTATGCATCGTTTAATGAAAAACACGAGGAAAAACAAGAATTTGCATTGATGGCTAAACAACTTGTAAGAGAAAATTGCAATGTCTTCCCTTTTTATAAGAAAAAAGAAAATTAAACTTGCTCAACAGAAGCGCATTTCTTCATTTTTAATTCCCCCACGTGAAATATAAGGATTGCTTTTTCTAAAACAAATCTACTCAATACCTGCATATTTATGTTATAGTTCACAATCCCTTCCAGTGGAATGCTTTTCTGGTGACATAGAATTATAGAAAGTACCATTCATTCTCTTGTAATTTTAAATTAGAATAAAAAGGTTGCTTTTTGTATAGCAAACACCTCGGAACCTACTAATTAGGATTGAATCAGAAGCTTATACGCCGCGCCGTAACAAATCTTCCTTGAATGTACACTATTTAAGAATTGAAAACACACCTAATGTTGTAATGAACAATTAATGTAAGATAAATTGCAGCTTTTCTCCATTTACGCCAAAAACTACTATACGGCGGCGCGGTGTTGCCGATTTAATTGTGTAGACACTGCTTTCGTTTCGTGATGTTTGGAAATCCAGCATCAACGGATTAGTAAACCCTTATATGAATTTCCAGGTGGTGCCAGTTCACATAGATTCCATTACATTTGATGATTACTACAATGGTTGCTGCAATGCCACATTCTGGCCGCTATTTCACTCAATGCCAGATAGGGCAGTCTTTAATCGCGACAAGTGGAGAGCATACGCCGAAGTTAACAAGGAATTCGCAGACCGCACATTTGAAACGCTCAAGAATGTCCATAACTCGGACTCGGACAATCGAAACGATGCTCCCTTAGTGTGGATACACGATTATCACTTGATGATTGCAGCTAATTGGTTACGAGAGGTACATGCATGTCTTATTTCTGATTTTGTCTAATTAACTTTTATTTAGGCGGCTACAGAGGAAGCCATACGTTGTAAGATAGGTTTCTTCCTCCACATTCCGTTCCCCCCGTGGGATATATTTCGATTATTCCCATGGGCCGATGAAATACTACAAGGAATGTTAGCGTGCGACATGGTAGGGTTTCACATTACAGACTACTGCCTCAACTTCGTCGATTGTTGTCTACGATGTTTGGGTTGTCGAATTGATAAGAAAAATCTCCTGGTTGAGCACGTCGGCAGGACCGTACGTGTGCGGGCTTTACCCATTGGAATACCGTACGAGAGATTTGTGCAATTAGCCGAAAAGGCGCCCAAAGTATTATCGACCAATCAGAAAATTATTTTGGGAGTAGACCGGTTGGATTACACAAAGGGATTGGTGCATCGTTTTCTGTCGTTTGAGTCACTTTTGGAAAACTTTCCCGAGCACCTTGAAAAAGTTTCGTTTCTTCAAATTGCGGTACCCTCGCGCACTGATGTTAAAGAGTATCAAGATCTGAAAGAAGAAATAGATCAACTCGTCGGGCGAATTAATGGAAAGTTCAGTACGCCGAATTGGGCACCGATCAGATACATTTATGGCTGCGTAACTCAGGACGAACTCGCCGCCTTTTATCGAGAGGCGGCCGTCGGGCTAGTGACACCATTACGAGATGGAATGAATTTGGTTGCCAAAGAATTTGTGGCCTGTCAACTAAACGTCCCCCCAGGTGTACTGATCGTGTCACCCTTTGCGGGTGCTGGTGAAACAATGCACGAGGCAATCATCTGCAATCCGTACGAGATCGAAGGCGCATCTGAATGTCTGCACCGAGCACTCACAATGCCCGAGGACGAACGAATACTAAGAATGAATTACTTACGAAGACGCGAGAAACTCAACGATGTTAACTACTGGACAAGATCGTTTTTACAGGCGATTGGTTCTTTGGTTACGCAAAATGAGGATGAGAGCATCGACAATGTAACTATTCCCGAAGTTACTCTGGACGATTTCGACGAGTATCTCGTAAAGTAGGTTTCTTCGTCATTTTTAGCAAATGTTTACATTGAAACACTTTCAGATACATCGGGAATAATCACAAACTCGCGCTGCTATTAGACTACGATGGTACCTTGGCTCCCATAGCTCCACATCCTAATCTCGCAATACTACCAACAGAAACTAAAAATGTACTGCAAAGGTTGTCGAATATGCCAGACTGTTACATAGCGGTCATTTCTGGAAGAAACGTCAATAACGTTAAGGACATGGTAAGAGTGGAGAGCAGTTTTCAGCGACTAAGTCTCAGTTGTAGGTTGGAATTGACGGGATAACTTACGCAGGTAGTCACGGATTGGAGATTTTGCATCCGGATGGCAGCAAATTCGTACACCCCATGCCTACGGAAATGCAAGGGAAGGTATCGGATCTCCTGCAGCAGTTGCAGGAGCACGTCTGCAGAGACGGCGCCTGGGTTGAAAACAAAGGGGCCATACTCACATTCCATTTCCGCGAATCTCCCACTTACTTACGGCCCCAGCTCGAGCGACAGGCGAAAATGTTAATAGAGGGAGCCGGGTTTAAGGCGGCGAAAGCGCTTTGCGCCTTGGAGGCTCGTCCGCCTGTCGAGTGGAACAAAGGCAGGGCTTCGATTTACATCTTGCGTACGGCTTTTGGTGTGGATTGGAGCGAGCGTATTAGAATTATTTACGCCGGTGATGACACCACAGACGAAGATGCTATGGTGGTACGATTTAGTTACTTAGATAGTTAGAATGAAGCTCCCTACCCCGTTTTTTAGGCTTTGAAAGGTATGGCAGCGACCTTTAGAGTGATAAGCTCTCCAATTACAAAGACGTCGGCGGAACGCCGCTTGTCATCAACCGATTCCGTCCTAACGCTTTTAAAATGGGTTGAAAGGCACTTGAGCAGGCGAAAACCACAGCAAAATGGTACACGCAAGAATTCGAAATCGCTCAAGGAGGGTGTACAGATGGAGATGTCTTTTTTACAGTCTCCATCGGCGTAAACACAAAGCTATTTGTTAGGCAGGAAACTATTTTAAGATTATGCAATAATATGATTATATTGATTTTACACTGTTTCATGTAGTACGTATTGTTGTTTTACATTTTAAATAATTCTCTAGACTTAAAACCTTTTTTTTACTTTGTTTTACGCTTTTGATGTTAGACATTTAAGGTGTCGAACCGGTCCCAATGACGACTTTTTCCTTTACTGATCAGTATTTTATTTGGAAAACGCTTGATGGTAATTTTACTCTTACTGCCTGAATTCCACAACTGTATTATCGGTTTCAAGATGCACGCGATATTCAAAACGCAAAAAAGTGATAAATTATACAATATTTTTCTAAATAGTTATTGTAATAATTCTGCGTATCCCGGTAGTGAATTAAGGCGATTCTCCACAGAAAATATTCTAGTAAAGGCCAATTCACATTATCGGTCAGGTCATGATCAGAGAATCTTCATAAGAAATACATACTACAATAATTGATCGCATCATGACCGGAGCGTGATCTGACATCTGTCAGTTTAGTTTGAAACATACTGTATAAAAAAGCTATATAAAAATGAAGAAATGGCTACATTAGATTAATGAAGTGCAGCATAAATAAAAGGAAACCGTTTTTTTGGTTCATGGTTAAACTTAAAAAAAATATAGGTTATGATACCTCAATGTAATCAAAAGAAAAATGCAAAAATTGACGTTAAGATATACCGGGTGTTACATTTAAAAATACCAACATTGTGTCAAATCAATACGGTGGTCCAACATTTTTTTACTAAGCCTCAGGATTTTCGTCTTGTATCTAGATTGATTCTGTTTGTTGTATTAAGTTTCACAAAAAAGTGACACAGGGTCGAGAAAGCCGCAAGTGTTGAAAAACAAAACAGCTAAGATACACTGCTGTTTCAACCAAAATAGGACACACGGTACCTAAATACATTGCGGCCGACTGACCAGCTCCGTCCCCACATCTTGCTAACTGACTATCATAAGTTTCATTTATATACAAATTGTATAACAATTTTTCAGCGTTAGTAAATTCATTTAATTAGCTGGACAGCTTCGATGGTAGACCAGAGACCCCTGTTCCCAGTTTTGCTTGACTGACCGCAATATGTTGGTCACATTAAAAGAGAACCTTACGCAAAAAAATGGTTACAAACAGCAAAGCATCGATTGCAGCAAATTGCCCCCGGTGAAAAACCCTTACCCATTAAGCCCCAGCCTATAAACCTCCGGGTGACAGTAACTCCCGGATAAATACCTCTGCACAATCCAAAATTAGCACATTCTGAGCACAAAATTATGGCATTCTAACGTTTTTAATTTGGCGAAGGTGTACCTCCAACGTGAAATTGGAGGTACAGACTAAGAATTTGGCTTGAGCACAAAATTTGCATTATACGGCAAAAAATGGAATAAAATGAGCACAAAATAACGTGTCGTTGTCTTAAATATCGTAATGTCGTACCTCCAACCTCATCGACCTCTTTAGCACTGTACCTATCTACTGATCATTTAAATTATAGTGCGACCATTGAATAATAAATCTACCAGATTTATTATTCAATGGTACGATCTTATTTTGAGGATATCTTTATGAAAGGCAATTTATGTACTGAAGGACTACAGCTCGTCGTTTCACACCCTGTATAAACGGTATTTCAGATTTAAGAGCAAAGTTAAATTACATAATTAAATCAATTTGAGATTCGTAAATAACTTTACAGAATGTTGGAAACGTGACTGCACAGAATGATTTAATTTACCCTATCAAAAAACAAAATTATGTTCAATTTATATAAATAATTAAATTACAAGTAAATAACGAGGCCTTAAAAATGTTATAAGAAGAAATAAAGTTAACCTTCGCGATATCTACCATCCTCCATTGGAACTATCAATATTTCCAAATAGAACATCTGCACATCCACCTCACTAAAATGCCAGAAAACTGGAGTATTGATCTGCGGCCCTATTCGCCTGGGGAAAATTACACAAATGAACTTCGAAAGCTGTGTACAGATAGCGCCACGTATTCTGCAAACCAAATTTTGGCAGATTTAAGAGATAATAAATTAATGTTAGGCATTAAAATAATGCTTAAAGCCTATTGTGGCGCTTAATGAAAAACCAACACAAAGTTAATTAACTAAACAAGGTAATGAAAATGTAAATGCGCGTAAAGTAAACAAGATTGCAACAAATGAAAACAAGATCGCCAAAACTAAATGTTATTTTGTCTATACCAATTGGGCACATCTGTTGAAAAATAAACTTTAAAGTAAATTCGGAAGCAAATTTTCCCCAATTTTGATTTTCCCTTGCAAAGTTCGAATCGCGAACGTCGAAGGGGAAAGAGACCAAGACTTTCGGCGTTACAAAGTGATATGATGATTAGGTTAAATGGTGAAGAATAATACCTCGTTAGACATTCATTGAAAACTTTCAACTCGTTCCATTTTGTTGGCGAAAACGATTTGAGCTTTTCTAATTTAATGTTCCGTTGGAAGTTGGAAGTCATTGCGTGGTTCAAGGCACTTTCTTGAAATTATACGGAGACTTTAATTAAATTTTTTGTACTTATTCAGTTTATTTTAGATGAGAAACACTGATTAAGTGCCCACATTACTTCTTGTTTTGTTAAATGAAAGTGCACCCTTTTTTTGTAACACAAAGGCACGTTCCGCAGTCCTCCTCATATTTAATTGAGAAACTGTGCAATATTTTCTGGCGCTCAAATTGCAAACAATATAAGTTTGATTTTATAAAATCATCCTTTGTTCGAGTATTCAACGTTAATTAAAATCCATTATGTTTAAAAGGAAATTGGTTTAAATCAAAATCGCACAAACCTCTTCAATGTTCGGTGTCCTATTTAAATTACAGCGATTGATCCTTCTCCGTTCGTTTTCATGCTGGAATAAGACACGCTTGAATTTTCATTAATTATTTGTTTGATGGTGTAACGAGAACGACAAATAACGTGAAAAACGTATAACCACTTGAAAGTCCGCTTCGGGATAACGAAACTTTCGAAATGTGACTGGTGGGACGCGGTTTCTCTGATAAAACCTCACAAATGCAATCACTTACAGACATCACAATCTCTTGCGTCTTTCCGGCAAGGAGATGACATTTCATGTAACTGTTTTGTTGACTTCCCTTGGTTGCAATTGCAGTAATATGTTCAACAAATCTAATATCCTTCGCTTTTGTACAAAGATGGTATTTTCAATAGAGCTTGTCAGTCAACCTCGTTACGTTCGATTTTAATTAAACCAAGGAGAAACTCATTGAAAAGCACATTTTCTCATTTTTTCGAACTCATTGAGTCCAGTCAAATTACGGTTTGGGCTGGATGCTGTCATTTCACTCAACGAAACCAAATGTAAAAAATCCGCTGAATCCGAAAATCATAGCCCCCCTGGCCGGAAATTGCCGGAACATGTTGTTATAAATAAAAAACGAAGAAAAAGTGGCAAAATGTCGTTTCTTTTCGCATTTAACTTCAATTATCTTATTAACTAATTGCTTTGAGGGAAAAAATGAATTCGTTTAGAATCGAATTTTCTATAAGATACAGTTGACATGGAACGTTCATTTTCAAATGTTGTTTTTTTATGAAAAAATATAAAAAAGTAATCCCGACAAAACAATCTATTATTACTGAGTAAAATTCATTCGACCTTTTTGAAAATCCGTATTTGGCGAGTTTTGATAACAAAACTATATGACAAACCCGATCACCATAAGTATCGTAGTCATTGATTAATTAAATAAACAAGTTAAAAGAACGATGCTGTGTCTTTCAAAACTGGATGACTCCCAGATAACCATTTCCAAAAATTGTCTCGATGATTCCTGCAAATCGACGGAATGGGGGATTTTTTTAGTTAAATAACAAATGGAGTAACTCCCGAAATATAACAAGAACTCTATAATTGGCCCTTGGCACTCTAATTAATAACAATCATACATTTTTGTGAAATAGAAGCATAAAAAAAGTTCACAGTTTAAAGATCCGTTCGATGCGACCCGATTTGCAAAATAATTTTTGGTTGTCTCGAAATCAAGCCCAAAGAGAGCTTTCGATTCGCCTATTATAGATTTACATTTCTTGTCGTATTTTGGAAATTATTCCATTTGTTACGTAAGGATGAAGGATTTGAAAAAAAAAACTCCATAGTCGATAGTCTATTTGCAAGAATCATCGGCAAAATTGTTGAAAAATGAGAACGCTCTGGGAGTCACCCAGTGTGAAAAACAAAGCGTCGTGTTATTAATTTGTTTATTTAATTAATCAATGACGAGGATACCTACGGGATCGGGTTTGTCATATTGTTTTGTCATCAAAAGAAGTGACCAAATAGGGATTTTCAAAAAGATCGGACGAAATTTACTTAGTGAAAACAGATTGTCAATTTTCGGGATTTCTTTTTTTATATTTTTCAGTAAAAGCTATTTCAGAAAAACTACTGCTAGCGTCTTTGTTAAAAAATCAAAGAAAGTAAAGATTTCCATAAATGAAAAGATTGTTATTTCCCAGTAAACCTAAAAAATTAAATATTCTAAGTTAAATAAATTGGTTTGCTGGTATTCAAGGCGCATCGCGTTTATAAAAAGGCAATCTTCAAATTACGAATAAAAAAAATCGAGAACCTTCCAAAAAAAACTGATTTGTACAAGTGTTATATGAAGCCCCTAATGAAATGTACTTATGCATAAAGACAAAAATGCTATAATTATCCTTTAAATATACTTTTCTTATTTTTCATACTTTACAGGTAGTACTAATTGTGGATTTGCTAGAGGATGAAAAATTGAGGAATCACATTTTCAAAAAATATCCATGTTAAGAACAATTTTGGGAGATGATTTCAAATGAACGGTCTGGAACGTCCACTGGACTTAATTCTAGCGAAACTGGTGCTAACTTTCATACTTTAAATGTTCATTATATTAGTAAAAGCACAATTTTCGTGGTTAAAATGTCTTTGTTCACTTATACTATAGCTATATAATAACAGTCGCCCAAGCATTGTCCTTAGATGACAGATTTCGCTCTAAAATCAGTAAAATATGGACATTTTGACAATTTTAAAAATTAGAATTCTGCTATATTTTCTTTGTGCATCGA